GATTATCGGATGCATGGGATTCAGCTCCAAGTGCTTCTTCGCAGCCATGTAACCCATCGTGCTCGTATCCCTCAGCGCCTGTGCCTTCATTATCCTCTCCATGTTCGCCGACCAACCAAACTCAGATGTTACAATGCAACACGGTGAAGTCGTCAAACGGTTCGACACACTCACTTTCTCAACCCGCTTACCCAAGATATCCTGGATAGCCTTGCACAACGGCTCGAACGACGCCTTCTGATCCTCAAACTTCTTCTTCTCTTCCTCATCCTCAGGCAACTGAAGACCCTCCTTCGTCACACACACCAACTTCTTACCGTCGTACTCTCGCAGTTGGGTCACTGCATACTCGTCAATAGGATCAAGCATGTACAACACCTCATAGCCACGCTTACGAAGCACCTCAGTGAACGCAGAGTTGGCCAACGCCTCCTTCGTCTCACCTGTTATATAGTAAATATCCTTCTGGTTCTCCTTCATACGAGACACATAGTCTTTCAGGCTGGTCATCTCATCACCACTAGAGCTGGAGTAGTAACGCAGAAAGTCGGCCAACTTCTTCCTGTTCACACCATCCTCGTGGATACCCAGCTTGATGTTCTTCGAGAACTGCTCATAGAACTTCTTGTAGTCCTCCTTATCCTCCATTATCTCCTCAAACAACTCGATACACTTCTTCACCAGATTCTTACGGATCACCTTCAACACCTTATTCTGCTGCAACACCTCACGACTGATGTTCAACGGCAAGTCCTCACTGTCCACAACACCTCGAACAAAGTTCAGGTACTCAGGGATCAGGTCTTCACAGTTATCCATGATGAACACTCGACGAACATACAACTTGATGTTGTTCCTCTTCTTACGATTCTCAAACAGGTCAAACGGAGCCCGCTTGGGCACAAACAACAACGCTCGGAACTCCAGCTGGCCCTCAACAGAGAAGTGCTTCACCGCAAGGTGATCCTCCCAGTCATTACTCAAAGACTTGTAGAACTCTCCATACTCCTCCTTCGTTATGTCGTCTGGATTACGAGTCCAGATCGGCTTCATCTTATTCAACAACTCCTCGTCAACATACTTCTCAGTCACCTTTTTCTTCTTCTTCTTCTTATCCTTCTCCTCATCCTCTTCGTCTTCATCTAGATCCTCAACCTTAGGCTTCTCCTCATCATCACCCTCACCCTCCGTCTCTTTCGTCTCCTCCTTCTCAGCCTCATCGTCAGACACCTCCTTCGTCCTCTCCTTCTCCACAACCAACTGGATAGGGTAGTTGATGAACTGAGAGTGCTTCTTGATTATCTCACGGATCTTCCTGTCCTCAAGGAACTCCATCTGGTCCTCCTTGAAGTACAGGATCACCTTCGTACCACGACTCGGCAGCTCACTGCTGTCCGGTGTGATCGTGAACGAACCACCCGCTGACGACTCCCACATGTACTGCTCGTCGTCGTTACTCTTCGTCACCACCTGAACACGGTCAGCCACTAGGTAGGCAGAGTAGAAACCAACACCGAACTGACCGATCATAGAGATATCAGCACCAGCCTGCAACGCCTCCATGAACGCCTTCGTACCAGAACACGCAATCGTTCCCAGATTGTTGATCAAATCCGACTTCGTCATACCAATACCCGTATCCAGCACTGTCAGGGTGCCAGCCTCCTTATTCGGAATCAACTTGATGTACATCTCCTTTCCAGAGTCGAGAACTGATGGATCTGTCAGACTCTTGTATCTCAGCTTGTCCAGAGCATCACTTGCATTGGAAATCAACTCTCGAAGAAATATCTCCTTGTTCGAGTAGAATGTGTTGATGATCAAGCTCATAAGCTGAGCAATCTCAGCTTGGAAGGCGAATGTTTCAGGTTGAGGATCTGGACCGGTGCACATTGGTTCGGGCATTTCCACAATATCAAGAACAATGCGTACAGACGGAATAAATGATCGTTTGTCTGTCGCACGCGTTTATAAACAGCCAATCGAATGTTCTAGACTTCATTGATTTACCGCTAAATTTAGAAACTCCACAGCCAATGAAATCACTGCCGAATTATGTGGAATATTCTACAATATTCCGACTTTTTCGATTGGTTGGATTTGTCATGCTGCTTCGTTTTTCGTCAGCGAGTTCTAGAAAGTGGTTCCATGCACTGTTAGATGAATTACTGAGGTTGATAGCTTTATTCATGTTATGCTTGCATTTGAAAGTGGTGATATTTTCTACTTGTTATTAGCTCATATTGATTGACTTGAGGCAATTCGACTTGAAATGCAGCTGCCATAGTGCAATATGTTTGCAGCTTAATGTTAGCCGTTGAGTTGAATGTAGGCTAATCCGGTGTGTACGAAGACACTTGTTGCTCTTTGAAGTCCTAGTTTTGGCTTGAAATTCTGTAGTTCTGCTTTCTGTTTTTGTAACGATTGGCGTTATGCAGTAATTCTTTATGGGTTACATTCGCTTAATGCTTAGGACGTGTTTACTAGCTCACATTTGAGCGTTAGTCTTAGAATTCATTCGGAAATGATGTGGAGTTGTGATCCAATGAATTTGTCTCATGCATATTGTTCGTCTAATAATAATAATAATAATAATAATAATAATAATAATAATAATAATAATAATAATAATAATAATAATAATAATAATAGTAATAATAATAATAATAATTTTTCTAGCCAACTAAAACACACTTCATTCCGCAGACCTGAATGCATAATCATACTGGTTTGGCATGCGTATACTGAAGTAATTATGTCTTAATAGAGAGAAATGCTCATTATGGATTCCCTTATTAGTCATAACCAAGCAAATTACAACAAAAATGCTGTACATTGTGTAAAAAATGTCGTTTTTAGGTGGTAAACAGATTTCACATAACGTTTATCACGCAAACTTTGGAACGGGATGCGTTACAAAGCACATATGAGTATACACTATTAAAGTCTTAAAAAGCGAGAATGTATGCTAATAGGGAAGTATCTTTCCCTAGGCATTTCAATTTACTGAGAATACGACAAAAACAATGAACGAAATTTACAGATAACTGTTGAAGACTAATCGGAATAAATTTTGATCACTCCACAACTGTTCAAAGTACAAGCTTGTTTAATATGAAAGTTACCGATATTTGCCACATAATTTGACAGATACAACCTCTTTTGTGAAGAATCGTAAATTGTTTTGGCACTACCCTAGTAGTATATTAAAAGTTATGGATTTTAATTATATTGCTGTGCTTTTTCAGACAGTCAGTGCTAAGCATTAACGTTGATTCATGCAGAAGAGCATTTGAATTGAGTCCCACAGTAGTTTGGAGACAACTTGTTATCGAAAAGCCTAGTTACATGTCTGTCTGCTTCCTTCCAATCCTATCCATACTTTTTCAGTTGAATAGTATTGAGTTTGCAATCATTTCTTTTCAGACAGAAAGTCTTTACCATCGGTCAGTTCATTAAATTGAATATGAAGCGAACTGTGCACAAGTGGTGGCCCTCGTACACACGACTTTGACGTTTGAATTGATGGGTACCAGGTTCGAGTCTCAGTGAGGATAACATCAATCATTAGGGTCCCGTACATCCAGCTGATGAGTCCTAAGTAGAACGAGACGCACATCCTGGATTCCAATCCTAGCCATCAAACAGACCACAAATTGTGCACAGCTAATTTGCATTTCATGAAATATTGTTAATAACACTTTTCTGCGCTACTTTTATTCCCATTGGATTTTGTTTAATTGATATGGAATGAGGCATGTATACACATTTAGAGGGTTGAAATAACATTTTTTGTGGGATTACAGTCTGCTGCTATTATTGTTATAAGAAGACAGTAACATTTGTTTTTGTTATCATAAAGTGGTGAGGTTTTAAGTGGTTAACGGAAAATCACGAAAGTAGGTCGTTTTATCACATAATAAATATTCGGTGGTGAATTCAATTATCAAGATTAACCAAAGCTGAGAGTGTAAGGCTGCACCACATCGGGATTTGAAGGAACCTGAAGGTAGTAAGTGCGGAGTTTGTCTCCGCTTAATTCTACATCTCGTTAAATAATTCATGTATTTGTAGGGATGCGTGTTACAATTCCGTAACGTTTGATCAACCCTACTTAATTTGATGTGCTCTAGTACCTGCTTAACCAGTACTTTACCTAACGTGTAAGTACTGGTAACAAAACACAAATCAAAAGAACTGATACGCAATGTATTTAAAGGAGCTATGTATTTAAGGTAAATGTTAAAATAATGAATGAGGGAAAAGTTTAATCAACTTATCTGGCTTGTAAGGCTGAACTAGGGACTCGGAGTACGTGCGTGGTGATCAGCACAATGGAGCGCAAAAATGGCGTCCAAGCCTGCTCGGATGCATGCTCGTTAAAACAAAACTTAAAACACCCTAAGCATCCGGAGGCAAGCTAGAGATTTATTTAGTTAATTTAATTTAAACTATTTATTTTAGCCCTAGTTATATTTTGGTGCCAGGAAGGTGCACTACAGGTTATCCCCCTCCTAGAAGGTTGTTGGGATACCGGCAACCTTCGATCCTAGGAGGCGACTGCGAGGCGGACACGCAACACCTTTCCATATTGGTGATGGAGTAGGTGACGTGTGGGTCTCCGAAGCTAGTGCAACTATGCACACCTACGAGGTAAGATAACTTTGCGTCTAGACGCAACCCTTCTCGCAGTGGTGGAAGGTGACCCAAAGCCTCCGTCTACTTTTCCCTATTGCTTCTTAATCTACCGGGGGGTGTACAGGGGGAAATTGGTACAAAGAGAACCGAAGAACGATCCAAGTAGCATCGTCAGCGGCCAATTGTATCCAATTTTCAACGCATTTTCTAGGTTCTGCAAGAAGAAAGAAATGGGACATTAGAGTGCTAAGAAAAGGAAAACCAAACAATTCGAAGTGGGAGTAGTACAGAAAAAAAAAAATAACCAACCAAAAAAAAGTTTTCGGAATTTAAATTGTATTTTTGGTTTTTCTTTTTTTTTGGAAAAAAAAACTGTTTGCAAAGTAGTAAACATGACTTTTGAAAACTTTAGGTATGAAAACGCATTGAAAGTGTATGCCACGACAAAGTAGTTGAAACTCCGAATTCACCAAGTGTGAAGTTGCTCTGGGGCTAATTAACGAACTCGGCGTATCGCTTGGGCCAATGTACACGCCTCCCAGCACGTGTAGAGGTTACTGGATCAGTGTTACTAGACGTGGCTCTTTTAGAAGGTTCAGGATACGCGCGACTAAACGAGTCTGTTAGGGAGTCCGGCGGCAAGGGTCTGGGTGTGCCTGTGGAGGTGTCGCACAATATTGACACTTCACTGTTCAGGAGCGGTAGACGCTGTATCTTCAGAGAGGATGAGTGTTGAAGTTTTCCAATCTCCTCGTCTGAATCCTGAAGTTCGGCAATCTTCCGTAAGTCGACTGCTCGAGGCAAAGTAGTGGTGCAAACGCGAGACAGTGCGTCCGCGACAGGGTTATTCACACCAGAAATATGACGGATGTCCGACGTGAATTGCGAAATATAATCTAGGTGACGTAATTCACGCGGTGAATATCTGTCAGTAGTGGTGTGTAAGGCATACGTCAGAGGTTTATGGTCGGTAAAGATGATGAAGTCACGACCTTCCACAAAATGACGAAAATGTTTCACTGAGGCATATATGGCGAGCAGTTCCCTGCCGAAAGTGCTGTACCGCATTTCGCAGGTGGATAACTTCCGGAGAAGAATGCAACTGGGATCCAAGTGTGATCCGAAAGTTGTTGCAACACAGCTCCAATGGCCGTGTTAGAGGCGTCAACCGCAATGCTAAGAGGTAGGTTTACGTCTTGATGCACCAGCATCGTGGCGTCTGCTATTGCGGTTTTGATCTTGCGAAATGCTTCTAGTGCCTCCGGAGTCAAGCTGAAAGTTTTACATTTACTTTTCAGCAGGTCGGTCAGTGCAGTCAAAATGTGTGCACATTGGGGAATGAAGCGACGATAATAGCTCACCATACCCAGAAACACACGCAGAGCTTTAAGTGACGCTGGGACTGGGAAGTCTTGGATCGCCTGTACCTTTTCAGGTAGTGGGCGAATGCCTTGCTCGTCGATAACGTGTCCCAAAAATTTTAGTGAACGAACGCCAATTTGGCATTTGGCCAGGTTGACTGTCATCGAATGCTCTGACAGTCTGGCGAAAACCTGTTTCAAGTGGTTAAAATGGGTGTCTTCGTCTGGACTAGCGATTAGTATATCGTCTAGGTAGGCATAGGCGAAATCGAGTCCACGTAAAACATCGTGAATAAAACGTTGGAAGGTTTGTGCTGCATTGCGAAGACCAAAAGGCATACGGAGGAACTCAAAAAGACCAAACGGTGTAATGACGGCTGTCTTGGGAACATCATCAGGATGAACCGGGATCTGATGATATGCACGCGTCAAGTCAAGCTTACTGAAGATAACCGAGCCTTTTAAAGATGCAGTCAAGTCGTGAATGTGAGGGACTGGGTAACGATCTGGAATCGTTTTAGCGTTGAGCCTTCGGTAGTCACCACAAGGCCTCCAGTCCATGCCATTGTTCTTGGGTACCACATGCAAGGGTGAAGACCATGGACTGTTGGATGGTCTGATTATTCCCATTTCAAGCATGTGTTCGAACTCGGCTTTTACAGCACGCAGTTTCTCCGGGGATAATCGCCGTGGTTTCGCAAACACTGGGGGGCCAGTCGTCGTTATGTGATGAGAAACGTTCGAAGTCACACAAGGGACACAACGACTTGGCTTAAAGACATCCGGAAAGGACTGAATGATAGACGCGTAGGGACTAGAAGCGTCCGTCGTGCAGTACACGGGACTGAGGGGCGGCGTCTTTGTGACTATACCGGAAACAGAGAGTGTTGTGGTAGAATCTATCAACTTATGCTTGCCAGCATCTACCAGCAGCTGATAGTGCTGCAAGAGATCCATACCAATAATGCCGGTGGTCACATCTGCCACTATGAAAACCCAACGAAAGGGACGACGCAATCCAAGGTTGAGATCGAGGAATCTCCGACCATAGGTTGTGATGGGCGAACCGTTGGCGGCACGAAGTTGCAGAGACATTGGCCGCAGACGCTCTTCCTTCGTAGGTGGGATGACGCTAGCTTCTGCCCCAGTGTCAACTAGGAAGCGTATCCCAGAATGTCGATCAGTGACGAAGAAGAGGCGACATGGAAGTGGCTCGCCAGCGACGTTAGTCGCCGTCACGTGCTGGCTCACACGTTTCCCGCCTGGTTAGCCTCGAAGGTGCAAGGTCGAGTGCACTTTTGGCATTGGCACCATAACGTTTATGGTACCAGCACAACCTGGGTTGTGATTGTCGCGATTTGGAACGTCTGCTATCGGTACGGGAGGCAGACCTGTTGCGCGAGCGAGACGTGCGACCTTTGTAAGAACTACCAGACCGCATTTCGTTCCTGATGCTGCACAACTCTTCATACAATTTTGAGATGTGAGTTATAACATCGAAACTTGTTGGCTCAACAGCCGAAGGAGGATGTGGGCTTTTGGACGAATCCGTGGCAGTAGACAGTGCAGCTGAGATACTAGTGTTGGGTTTCGTAGCATCCACAGCTCTGTCAGCCGCTTCCGCCAACTCTATTAAGGGACACTTATGGAAGGGTGCGAGGATCCCTTGAACCGACTGTGGTAACCTCTGTAACCACAGTTGCTTGAGAAATGCTTCATCAATGTTGAAGTCAGCAATCAGCTGCTTCATCTGACGAAGCAGTTGCGTCGGCTTGCGATCACCCAGATGCACATCCCTGAAAAGTTCTTGCACTTTCTGCTGGTCAGTAAGTGCAACACGTTTGATGAGGGCGGTTTTGAGGCGATCGTAAAGATTCGGTGCTGGGTCATCTAGCACATCTGACACGTCTTCAATCACATTTTCCGGTAAGCTGACGATGACTAAGTTGGACTTAGTTTCTTGTGATTGAATGTGTCTCAAGGCAAACTGAGCTTCCACATGGGAGAACCATGCAGATGGTCTGTGGGCCCAGAAGGTGGGAAGCTGGAGGGTTATGGCCATCTGCGCAGTCGAGTCGTTATCCGCCATTGATCAGGGAATTAACGAGGCACGATAGTGATAATAAAAAAAATTACAATGCAAAAATAACCAATGAGGAGTGCAATAATAAAAAAAAACGCTAGACGTGCCAAAAACAAAAATAGGCCAGACAAATCAACGCAAGAGAACAAAGGTACTAGACAAAGTAAGAAGTGATACTCGGGCTCACCAATTTTGTAGGGATGCGTGTTACAATTCCGTAACGTTTGATCAACCCTACTTAATTTGATGTGCTCTAGTACCTGCTTAACCAGTACTTTACCTAACGTGTAAGTACTGGTAACAAAACACAAATCAAAAGAACTGATACGCAATGTATTTAAAGGAGCTATGTATTTAAGGTAAATGTGAAAATAATGAATGAGGGAAAAGTTTAATCAACTTATCTGGCTTGTAAGGCTGAACTAGGGACTCGGAGTACGTGCGTGGTGATCAGCACAATGGAGCGCAAAAATGGCGTCCAAGCCTGCTCGGATGCATGCTCGTTAAAACAAAACTTAAAACACCCTAAGCATCCGGAGGCAAGCTAGAGATTTATTTAGTTAATTTAATTTAAACTATTTATTTTAGCCCTAGTTATATTTTGGTGCCAGGAAGGTGCACTACATATTCTTCATTGATTGCAAGTATAAGGAGTAGGAGACCTTGTCTGCCAAGTACTTTGCGTCAAGCCAGGGAGTCACTGAGTGGTGTAGTCGAAACATGTTTTTAGTAGGATAGGCAGTCATACACTTGCAGCTGAGATATTTTCTAGTTCACGCCAAAAATAAGCAAGTTAATAAATGATAGATGGCATAAGAAACTTATCTCTTAGAAACTTAAGTTGTATGTTGAAAAGAATCTTCTTATGAATATCTATTTAGTACATACAACACAACATGCTTGCTTCATTGGTAATTCTTATTCATTATTAATACACTGCTACTGCCATGCAACCATAAGTCCAGATTGTTACCGCCTTGATTTGGCAAACATAATGCTTAACTATCTTGCATTCTTTTGAAGAAAAGAGAGAAGAATTATTACCACACAGATACTTGGTTTCAATTGTTCATAAATTCTACTGTTGGGTTTGACCCTTTTTCATACAGTTACCATCAGGCCTTTGCTTCCTTCAAACGGCTACAACTACATTCTCACACAAGATAACATCAGCCATTATAAACATCCATACCAGTTATTATTATTTTCAGATTGGAATTCATCATGGGTTGACGTCAGTTTTAGGAAAATTGGAAATCTGGGAGCACTGGATAGCTGTTTCGTCCCAGTGTGGGGCCCATCAGCAGTGCGCACCCGTGACATCGCCAGGGATCAAACCCAGGACCACTTTGGAGCACAGGTTTCCAATTCTCCTCCAAATGATATCAGTCCATGATGAATTACAACCCGAAATCAACTAATAAATCTCCACAACCCCCCAGACTGAATTACTAATAATTTGTTGTCACTTGCATTTCCCCGTTGTAATAGTGAATGGAATTGATCGACATCCGTTGGCATATGAACTCCTATGAAGATGCCAACAGAGGTCAATCAGTTCAATCGAGTACTACGACGGAGAACTACAAGTATATCAACAAATACCCAGTGTACAAGAGGTGACTGCCGTGGCTCAGTGGTCTGGTCCATAGCAGCTGAAGAGTCGCACATAGGACGGAACGTACATCCTGGACTCCGCTGCTAGCCGAAACCAGGTCAGTTATTCATTCCACGGTTCTTAAGAGTGTCCTGAGCGCTGAGTCTGATTTAATCACTCTAGTAATAATCACTCATCGATGTACGTATTACCTTCTGAGGTAATCATACAACTTCCTGGTACATTTCTGACAGTCCCATTGTTTTTCTTTTTTCGGCTTAACTGACAGTAGAATTTTCCATATATTCGGAATTGGCACTGTATCAGTTTAAAAATTGTCACTCTATTCCATACAACAGTAGAATTTGATTACCTTGATGGGGTTATGAGGAATAAATTTTGCTCGAAACGTCATCAGTACATAATACTGTTTCACTGTTTGGTATACATGAAAGAAAAACCATGATAGAGTGATACTCTACCACAGCATCCAAATTCAATTCTCATATTCTAGACACTTACTCATAGATTAGTCCACTAGAGTATTTAGGCTGTCATTTAGGGATGTAAAATATTTCAGGCGGACGGATGTCGACAATCTCTCATCAGGGATTTCGGACATTTTTTAGCTATCTAATCAAAACATGACTTTCAGAAGAAAAAGATGATATCATTGTATTGCACAGTCTCCCATCGTTCTATGGTAACTTACAAGAAAATTTTGATTAGTCAATAAAAAAACATGATCAACAAACTTCGTGTGTAAGATCTTAGTGAGTCATAAAAACTTGGCTAAATCGAAGTTGTTAAATCCAAATAAGATGTGCAATCTAGAGGAAAGCTCGAGCATAGACATACATATCACTAAACATAATCACGCTACGGAATGTAGAACCGATAGTACTAAAAACGAACTTGGTGGGTAGAGTGAACCGAATCTCTGTTTATCCTGTCTATAGAGTACATCCCAGATTGCATTTTTTGATATATTTAACATTGAACTGATAATTTAACGCTTGTTTAATTGTCGTGACTTAGAAATCCTATCTGTTTTCTCCTGGTTCCGAATATATTGATTTATTGTCAATACAACATCCAGTTTATACTTCATGTTATCTACTCCTGTCATACTGTCTTACGTATATTTATCAGCAGTATTTGTGACAATAAGAAAAACCACAGTATTTTCGGAACATTATATAAAGAATGGAGTTAGACATCAGCTCCAAAAATCAACGCAGAATACATGGAATAAGAATGATATAGCACCTGTTCCGCATATATGAAAGATTTGAATACAATAATCATAAAGAAGAAGAGAGAATTATGATTATATAAGCCATGTCTCAAAGTTGTGGAATTACCCCATAAAAAGACAATAAATTGTGTCTGCAACATCACTTAGCAATAAACACTGTTTCATTGTGTGAAACAACTAATAAACAGACAAAAAAAGAGATTCAGTCGATTAAATCTTAGCATTACAACGTTCATAAAACGAGGAACATATGAAATTAAAAGAAAATTGAAAGTGTGCTCTATAACGGAGGAATTTTCTACGGCAGCTGAAAATACGATTTTGTCAGCACAGGGAACACATTTATCAATGTGGTACAGTAAATAATAAATAATGTTTAACAACAAACAACTGTAATTCCACTTTAGTCTGTTTATTAGAAATATCACACAGTGAAACAGTAGCATTTACTGGATAACGTTTTGGACACAATTTATTGTCCATATTCATATCAGGTAACTTCACAACTTCAAGACAAACTTTATATATTCCTAATTTTCTCTCCTTCTCTGGATTGGATTGCAAGATTAAACGAACACAAGACGGAAGTTTAGAGACTAATGTATATAGGAAACCTACCCATTCATATAGCTATTTAGACTTAAAATCATCCCACCCCATTTCAGTTAAAGCAGGCCTAGTTAAATGCTTAAGTGATAGAGCGGAAAAGCTTACTGGTAGATCGGAAAATCTGCGACTAGAAATCTGACACATCAAGAATACCCTACGTCTCAATAATTACCCACCAAAATTTATAAATAAATTCATTCGAAAATACCAGGAAATATTCGACGACAGAAGAATACTATCCCCAAAGTTGATGCAAAGAAAGTTTTCTTTAGCGAGTTTGGAATTCTTCTTATTGGGACATAAACAGCGAAGTCACATTTGAGGGCAAGATTCATGCATGATATCTTCTTTGTAACTGAAATGGGTACTCCTATTTGTGGTTCAGGTCTTATGCTTTTGTCCGAAAATCGTGCTAGGTATGCGTGTAGTGCACCTTCCTGGCACCAAAATATAACTAGGGCTAAAATAAATAGTTTAAATTAAATTAACTAAATAAATCTCTAGCTTGCCTCCGGATGCTTAGGGTGTTTTAAGTTTTGTTTTAACGAGCATGCATCCGAGCAGGCTTGGACGCCATTTTTGCGCTCCATTGTGCTGATCACCACGCACGTACTCCGAGTCCCTAGTTCAGCCTTACAAGCCAGATAAGTTGATTAAACTTTTCCCTCATTCATTATTATCACATTTACCTTAAATACATAGCTCCTTTAAATACATTGCGTATCAGTTCTTTTGATTTGTGTTTTGTTACCAGTACTTACACGTTAGGTAAAGTACTGGTTAAGCAGGTACTAGAGCACATCAAATTAAGTAGGGTTGATCAAACGTTACGGAATTGTAACACGCATCCCTACAAAATTGGTGAGCCCGAGTATCACTTCTTACTTTGTCTAGTACCTTTGTTCTCTTGCGTTGATTTGTCTGGCCTAATTTTGTTTTTGGCACGTCTAGCGTTTTTTTTTTATTATTGCACTCCTCATTGGTTATTTTTGCATTGTAATTTTTTTTATTATCACTATCGTGCCTCGTTAATTCCCTGATCAATGGCGGATAACGACTCGACTGCGCAGATGGCCATAACCCTCCAGCTTCCCACCTTCTGGGCCCACAGACCATCTGCATGGTTCTCCCATGTGGAAGCTCAGTTTGCCTTGAGACACATTCAATCACAAGAAACTAAGTCCAACTTAGTCATCGTCAGCTTACCGGAAAATGTGATCGAAGACGTGTCAGATGTGCTAGATGACCCAGCACCGAATCTTTACGATCGCCTCAAAACCGCCCTCATCAAACGTGTTGCACTTACTGACCAGCAGAAAGTGCAAGAACTTTTCAGGGATGTGCATCTGGGTGATCGCAAGCCGACGCAACTGCTTCGTCAGATGAAGCAGCTGATTGCTGACTTCAACATTGATGAAGCATTTCTCAAGCAACTGTGGTTACAGAGGTTACCACAGTCGGTTCAAGGGATCCTCGCACCCTTCCATAAGTGTCCCTTAATAGAGCTGGCGGAAGCGGCTGACAGAGCTGTGGATGCTACGAAACCCAACACTAGTATCTCAGCTGCACTGTCTACTGCCACGGATTCGTCCAAAAGCCCACATCCTCCTTCGGCTGTTGAGCCAACAAGTTTCGATGTTATAACTCACATCTCAAAATTGTATGAAGAGTTGTGCAGCATCAGGAACGAAATGCGGTCTGGTAGTTCTTACAAAGGTCGCACGTCTCGCTCGCGCAACAGGTCTGCCTCCCGTACCGATAGCAGACGTTCCAAATCGCGACAATCCCAACCCAGGTTGTGCTGGTACCATAAACGTTATGGTGCCAATGCCAAAAAGTGCACTCGACCTTGCACCTTCGAGGCTAACCAGGCGGGAAACGTGTGAGCCAGCACGTGACGGCGACTAACGTCGCTGGCGAGCCACTTCCATGTCGCCTCTTCTTCGTCACTGATCGACATTCTGGGATACGCTTCCTAGTTGACACTGGGGCAGAAGCTAGCGTCATCCCAC